TACATTCCCTGGTCCACAGGAATGAAGTGTCGGGGTGTACTGAATGGATAAAACACTCCGTACAGGTGCACCTTGAGAAACAGCCTCGTACCTCTTGCCCTACTACTTGATTTTTATATTTTATCTCTTAATGGCTTTTATCATAACATCACAGTTCTCTCTTTATAAAATATCAAGGCTACTCAGACTTCTCTGATGGACTTGATGTGTTTTGATCACTGGTACAGTTTGATACTCCATTTCCAATAGAGCCCCAAGTTTCCTGTGCCTTTTTAAGTTCAAATTGAAACTAGTTAAAAATAAAATGAAATTTAAATTTAATTTCTCCACCACAGTACTACATGTAATTACATTTCAAATATTCATGAGCTACACTTGGCAAAACCATACTTGACTACAGGCTACTTGACTTTCTCAGAAAAATAATAAATTTAAATTATGACCATATTTGTCCTTTTTATCCTTACCTAATGTGGTTAATCATGACCTTTGCCACACATAAATGCATCCTGCAGCCTTTTTTTTTCCCCCATTTATGTATTTGGTGCAGAGTCTCGCTGCGCAGCCCAGACTCGTAGTGATGCTCTGGTTTCAGCCTCCCCAGCGCTGGGATTACAGGCGTGCACTGCCGTGCCCAGTCTAGGTCACTGGCTCAGCGCCCCTGGGGGTGGGGCCAGTGGGGCGTGTGGACTGGGGCATCCTGCACCTGCCGGAGCAGGCGTTTGGTCCTCTGCACTATCCTACCAGCCCCCATCCTGCAGACATGTAACCACATGTTCAGTTCGCATAAGTTACAGAAAAGAAAAGTGAACATAAGAAGTATTATTATTTTAAGATTTAATCTTTATCCATTTATATCACCTGACCTGTAGCACAAAAGCTTTCTAAAATCAGACATGGGTGGCAGCACTTCATTAGTGGGCTGGGGTCTGAGTCGAAAACCTTTGGAAGTCAAATGAAGAGCCTCTGGCCCAGAGCACGCTGATGGCTCCAGCCTGCATTTGATAAGCTTCGCTGTTATCAGATCCCCAAAAGTTACATTTTTTGCTGACAATTTGTCTCCTTATAGAAATATCTATTGCACTTAAATTTACTTTAAGTCCATTTAGTCAGTCAATACTTGCAAATCTCCTTTGCTGTGCCAGGTACTGTTCTAGACTCAAGGGACCTTTATTTTCTAGTGAATGTTAGGCTTTTTTGTCCTGATTTTAATAAACAATCAATAGAAGTTGCTGAATATAGAATAGTGTCTGACTTTAAGTTTTATGCTTAGTAAAAATCTACTTACTGAACTCCCTGAGAAATTCAGAGGAGGTAAAGTTTCAATGATTTGTTGTAATTCCTTCTTCTAAAGAGCATCGCCTTGCTATGCAGAAACCAGTCTCGCTGCCATCTGCCCTGATGACCTCCCGCGACACGCCCGGCCCAGGAGTGTCTCTCTGCTCTGCGCTCCGTCTGGCACGCCTGCTCCTGAAGCCAGCTCCCTCCCTCACACCCCCTGCCCACTTTTGGATGTGTGGTGTAGGATCAGTGGTGTGTCTATCTGGAGCAACGTGGAGTTCCTTTCGCAAGTGCACAGGCCATGAGGCTGGTGAGGACATGGGCCGAGGTGGAGGAGCGGCCCTGGCTGACACTGCCAGCCGCGCTGGGCTGGTCCTTACAGCTGCTGAGGCTGGAGGTCCTCGTCCCAAGCCTCGAAAGCCTTTGTGAGTTCAGCTCTCGCAGCTGATTGTTAAGTTTTGGGATGAAAACTGTGGTGGAGGCCGCAGAGATCAGCCACTCCAGCCAGCTAGCCTTATGATAAGCAAAATCCTGGATCTTTCGTAGTTTATTTTTTTTATTTTTTCCCATAATTTTATTGAGAAACAGATAGCAATGAGACAGTTTCAAACCAAATTGGTAGGACAGTTTCAATAATTAAAACATTGCATACATTCTTCCTAGTGGTTAATTGCCATACAAGATGCGGACATGATAACCTATTTACAAACACCATTAGAACAAATCCCTCTATTCATTAAGAGAATGTAACTATATATCTATCCTAACCAATTTGAATACACAGATACAACATGGACATTCATCTGTATCCCCTTTTTTTGTTAAGTTCCGTGATTTGAATATTATAGGTGTGTAAACTCAGCAAAATATTCTAAAAGAGTCCAGTAGCCCAAGGAAAGCCAACATTTTGGTCCTAGCCTTCCAAGGTCAATTAAGACTCAGGACATATGAGAACTTGTACTGTAACGTCATGTAACTCGGTAGTGTCCCAAATTTTCTGATCAAGGAGATTATGGGGCCAAAGAAGAAAGTGATCGATGATGTAGAGTGTGCCTAAGGAGAGTCGCATGGAGAGAAGACATTCTGTCAGGCTTTCACAGAAAGCACACTGGCCAAGCAATGGCCGTGACTCATCCACATGGCTTACACTGACAAAGGATCTACAATCTGAGGTACAGGATCTCAGGATAAATCCTGAGGGGATTTCACTGACCTTATCAGACCTAACAGCTACAACTCTTGTTGCATAGGTCCTGCTTTACCTTGGTCTTAACCATCCAGTAGAAAAGTATAAAAACGAAATATAAGAAGTAAAGCCATGCTGTTATGTTGAGCTGTAGGGGACTCAGGTCAACAATTTCTGACATTGCCAGTCAAGCGGAAGACCCAATACTATTATGGGATCTTTCATAGTTTAAACGCAAGTTTTCAGCTGAGGGTCACAGCCTGACTGGGCGTCAGCAGCGCCCTCATTGTCGGCCGAGTGCGCGCTGGCCACCGCAAGCGGAGGTGGGGAGCGCCGTGCGTGTCTGCATGGGCAGCGCCCCGGGATCTTACCGGCTTCCTTACACTTGGGTCGTGTCACTCGTGCCACCGAGCCTGTCAGAGGAGGCCAGCCGCCCGCTTGTGGGCACCCGTCGGGCTCTGTCTCTGCCATCGCGGGCAGCAGGTGAGAGGATGATGCGGAAGAGCGCCTCTGACCACTGAGGACTTCGAGGTCCAGGCAACCGCGTCCTAGCAATCACGGCTTGGTAAGAATTTGATTCCTGCAGGCGAGGCCAGCGGCTCCCAGGAGGGAGCTTGCCCAGCGCTCACAAGGCCCTGGCCTCCGTCACCAGAAGAGACAAACAAAAAACAATTATTTCAAAATGTGTTTGCTTTATAAGCCGTGTAATGTTATTTTATAGAAAAACTTAAGCAGCAAGGAGAAATCTGTAACTAGAATCGTGGCAAAAAATAATAGACAGAGCTCAGACTTCTTTCCGCACATTTGGGATGAAGGCTGCCCTCCAGGCAGTGCTAATCACGTTCAGGGCGAGCTTGCCCAGCGGAGACCCAGCCCTGCAGAGCTTCCTGCCTGAGGCCGCGGAGCCAGCAGCACCGATATAATCTGACAGCAGCTTCGGGTGTGCTCTCTCTGACCCCCAGGGGCCTTGCTCACAAACCTGTACTGGAGGTATCTGCTTTCGGAGGTGTCAGGGAGAATATTTTGAAAAGGCATTTTCTGGTGGTTTCATCCAGCGTGGACTCCTGCTGCTGGTGAGACCCTATTATTTCTGTCTGGTTATCATACACATTATGTTCTTTTAATAAATCTGAACTTTGCCAGCAGATAGTCTTCTTTTATATATTTGTATTATGGATCCAAAATAGCAGTATCTGCCTGTCCCAGACAAAGTAATCCTATTTTAATAAACATCAGTGAATGATGGGAAGTACATGCAACTCTATTGTAGGAAGTCTGGATTCCAAAGGCTCCAGTTCAGGGCCAGGGAGATAGCTCAGTAGCACAAGTGCCGGCCTAGCAAGAGCAAGGTCCTGAGTTCAATCCCTGCTACACACAAAAGCTTCCAGTTTATACTTGAAATTAGAGGTGCAGCTGAAAGCAAGCCCTGTAAACTCGATGGACCTCTGTCTTAACCACGTGTAAAAGCAGGAGATTGCAGTGCATGCACGTGTGTGGTCTCTAAGGGTAGTACACTTGGGGCTGTATACTTCCTAGGTGCTGCAAGGGGATGGGCTAGACCCTGGCTTCTGCAGAAGCTGTCTCTCCATCATAGGTCGCTGCACAGTTTGCTGTGCGCAGCCATTTTCTTGTGAAGCAGAAGCTCAGCTTCGTGCATGTCTCAAGTTTGGGGGCATCAGTCAGGTGTGGGTCCCTGCTCCCACTGCCGTCACATGGTGATCTCGGCAGTCCATGAAGTGTGCTTCCTCATCAAAGCCTCTGGGTAAGAGGGTCCGGGTTCTTGAACCCATCTCTCTCTCTTGACCAGCACCATGTCCGGCACACACAAGACCCGGAAGTGTTTGGCAAGTACATGCTGATTTTCACTATGCTGTGGGGAAGCTGTTTCCAAAATAAAACTGTAGTCCAAAAATATTCTACCCGCTCACCAACTTTAGGCCATCCTTCCTAATTCAAAGGTGGCTCTGCCCTGTGCTTTCGCAGACACCAGAATCATGAATCCAGTTGGAATTCACAGCTCGGCAGGGAGGTAAAAGGTGCATAATAACAATTGTAGTCACAGTGTGAGAGCTTTCTGTAGGTATAAGCAAAACAGAAGTTGAGGGGCCAGGGAGATAGCTCAGTAGAGTCAGTGCCTGCCTGGCAAGGGCGGGGTCCTGAGTTCAATCCTTGGTATCACAAAAAAAAAAAAAAAAGAGTTGACAGAAATTTAAATAAATAATATTGCACTGTGCCTTATCATTTGAATTATAGTACGTGTTCTGACTTGGTGCACGTGGCTTCGTTGTCCAGCGCTAGCTGCTTTAATGACAGATGTCTGCAGCAGCGACGACGTGGATGAGGAGGTGTTATTTACTGCTCCTACCGAGTCCTTTTCTGTGAGCTCCAGTGGATTCTATTTCTTTTTAGCACTCTATGGCTTTAAAGATTTTGTAAATTTTTTTTAAATGTTTAAGGAAGGGTGGCATGGATATAACTTGTGGTGAATTAATGTATGTATTTTGCTTTTCCTGCCAACCTTCTGCTTCCGTAGGAGGATTTTCGATGGGAGGTTGCATGGCCTTGCACCTAGCATACAGGAGCCATCGCGACGTGGCAGGGGTATTTGCTCTTTCGAGTTTTCTGAATAAAGCATCTGCTGTTTACCAGGTAAGCTCCAGATTTAAAAACTAAACAGAAAAAAAGCGTGAAGCGTGCACATAGAAATCAAAATTGATAAGCAATTAAAGTTGATGCACAGGTAATATAAATTCAGCATCCCTAGGAAGTGATGTCCTAGTCAGTCAGGTTGATGAGTTCTAGCTGGAATGTTTTAAAGCTTCCCTGCACAAAGAATGCTCACAAGCAAAACATTAAGGAGTAAAGAACCCACGAGTGTGTGCATGTAGAGTATGCGTGAATGTCTCGTACATATTCCAAATCTGGGTGAGCACAGCCACACTGACCGATTCCACCTTGAACATACTCAGAAGAGAAAGTCGCGTACCCAGATGGTACTTAACTTTACAGCAAAACCTTAATTTATGACAGCACTGCCACTGCTTACCGGAAGTAGAAACCAAGCAAGTGTGAGTGGCGAGCGGTTCTCGCCTGTGTGAGCCTACGCCCCGAGGCCTCCGCTCAGCTCCGTGGGAAGGGACTGCCTCTAAGTCCCTGGTGTCTTCAGGAAGCGCCCCGCCACGCCGGAAAGTCTTCCCCTGGGCGAGCCGCCCACCCAGCCCCCGGTGTGCTGCCTGCGACGCCTCAGACGGCGCTCCCTGTTCGCCTCTTTGCCTTTAGTTACCGAAGCTGGAATTTTTCTTCCTCTCTGATGTCTGTTAATGATTTTTTTAACTACAGTTTCTTACACTTTTCCTATTTAACTTTTTTACCTAGGCACTTCAGAAGAGTGACGGAGTGTTCCCGGAATTATTTCAGTGTCACGGTACTGCAGACGAGTTGGTCCTTCATTCCTGGGGTGAAGAGACAAATTCATTGTTAAAAAGTCTAGGAGTGAACACAAAGTTTCATAGTTTTCCAAATGTGTACCATGAACTCTGCAAAACTGAGCTACAACAACTGAAGTCCTGGATTCTTACAAAGTTGCCAGAAGAGATGGAGAAGCAATATGAGTGAATTCAGATTGATTTGTTAAAATGCATATACTGTTGGGGGCCGGGGGATGGCTCAGTAGGATAAGTGCTTGCCTGGCAAGCGGAAGGGCCTGAGTTCAATCCCTGGTTCCACCAAAAAACAAAAACAAAAACAAAATGCATATACTGTCATTTTAGAAAGTGATTTCTTACTGCCAAATTATAAATAAAATACTAAGAGATGATTTATTGGTGTAGGTATTAATTATTGAAATGCTTAGTAACATGGTAATATAATCTTATTAAAGGTAAACAGTTTACCATCTATGCCTTATTTTTCGCATAAATTTTTGTAAATACTTGGAGACTTCTATAGTATTTGAACATTCCAACTTAAAAATATAGTATTCTAAATTAGTATTCATAAGGGTAAAGAGAAAACATGAAAAGAATTAGCGTTGCATTATACTATCTTGCCTACCATTTTCTTTCAGTTTCCATCCCAAGACAGTTACATTTATGTATTTTCAACAGAATCACCTTCATAACTCAAGCTTATTAAGCTCCTTATTATCTCTTTTGAGTGGCATAAAAGCTCTAAGAAATCAGCCAAGTAGTGATTACTGGTGTTTGATGATAGGACAGAAGAGTGCCTTGGCCGGCTTTGCGTCACCGTAGCAGAGCACCTAGCAGGCTGCTTAGGGAAGCGCACTGAACTCATGGCTCGGGGGCTCCCGGCTGGTGCCTCTGGTGAGTCTGTGCATCCCGGCGGCAGCAGCAGGTGGTGCTCCCAGCGCTCAGCCCTGAGCATGGCAGCAGAGAGGGCGAGAGGCTTGCATCCAAGGTCTCCTTCAAAGGCTTGTTCCATGACCTAAGGACTTCCCTTTCAGATCCACTGATTAAAGGTCCTCAGAACCCCTCAGTACCTCCGTACTAGGCCTGAGCTTTCACACGTGCTCCCTGGTGTACAGTGATCCAAACCGTAGTGCCTGCTCAAAGCCTTTTCTGTAGGTACCCTCAAGCCAAGGCTAGAGCCCAAGATTCCAATTCTCGGTGGTGCTATCTTTGCTGGACTAATTTGCTGCTTTGCTGTAGGTACCTGTTTCATATATAAAGTTGTAATCTTGGGCCAGCAAGATAGCTTAACAGACTAAGCACCTGTTTAGGCAAGCTCAGGGACCAGGGTTCGAACCTGGCACCACATGCCATGCCAGACCCGCCCCCAGGCACACTGGGCCAGCAACTGAGACCAGGTATGGTGGCACACGCTTATAATCCCTGCCCTGGGGAGGCTGAAAATAAGAGGATCACTATGACTCTAAGCTGTGCAGTGAGACCCTGTACCAAATGCACAATAATAATAAAAAATTATAATCTTGTCTCCACCCAATGGGGTTGTTTTCAAGGTTTAAATAAGTAGCTAAAACCAAACATGTAATAAGTACTCCATACACACTACTGTAAAGTTGGTTGTGGTCTAGTTTCACGAGTACTTTATCAAATAATGCCTGAAATAATGAAATTGTATTGCTTAATTGAAAATGCTTTCAATTATGTTCTGTATTCCTTGGTAATCTCTCATGCCTGAATAATTTCCTATGTGATCCTTATGAAAACACTTTGATAAAATAAGCAATCATCCCAATTTTGCATAAATGTGGTATCTTCCAGTGTTCATACCATATTACTCTGAGTTATCGGTGCTGTCTGCATCAGTAGTTTATTTTATTCCTGAGTAGTATCCTATTGTGTGGAGCTACACTTTGTTCATCCATTCACTGCTGACATTTAGGTAGTTTTCCAGTTAGGGCCATATATAAGATTACTATGTACTGGCAGAGAGAAAGAGGGAGAGAGAGAGAGAGAGAGAGAGAGAGAGAGAGAGAGAGAGAGAGAGAGAGAGCGCTAAGGATCAGTGAAACAGATTAGAAGATGGAGACACAACTACAAATACATTTAGTCATCTCATCTTTGACAGAGGGGCCGAACATGTTCACTAGAAGAAAAATAACTGCTTTAACAAATGGTGCTGGAAAAACTGGCTCTCCACATGCCAAAAACTAGATCCAGTGGGTCTATTATCAAGCATTAAACTAAAGTCAAAGTGTATTAAAGATCTAAACATTAAAACAGAAACACTAAATCTACTAGAAGAGAAAGTAGGTGGAAATCTTAAGGATATAGGAGTAGATAGAGTGCTGCATGGGAAATACTTCAAAGAATCAACAATTGGGATCTCATCCTTTTGAAAAATGTCTTCAATTCAAAAAATCACCAACAGAGTAAAAAGAAAACCTGCAAACTGGGGCAGGGGGGAAAGCATAGCGGACTGTCTTTCAGACAAAGGACTCCTTTCCAGAACATATAAAGAATTTTTAAAAATCAGGCCTCTCCAAAATTCAAAGACCCAATCCAAAACAGGCATTTGGATGAATATACACTTCACAAGAAGAGATACAAATGACAAATGAAATAATGTTCAACATCATTCATCCTTCAAGGTATGCACATTAGAATAATGTTAAGAAACCATCTTACACCAGAAAGAATGGTTATCAAGAAGTCAACCAATAACAAATTCTGGAGGGCCTGTAGGAAAAAGAAACCCTTCTCCACTGTTGGTGGGAGTACAGGCTGGTATAGCCACTATGGAAATCAGTGTGAAGATTTCTCAAAAGCTAGAACTGGAGGGCCCATTCAACCCAGATGTTTGCCTTCCAAATGAACTGTAAACATTATACCACAGTGATATATGTGCACCTATGTTTATAGCAGTGCAATTTGTCATAGCTAAATCTTGGAAACAACCTAAATGCCCATCAACTGAGGAATGGATAAAAAAGATATGGCATTTTTACACAATGGAGTATTATTCAGCTATAAAAAAAGATAAATTCAGGGCTTTTGTAGATAAGTGGATGCAACTGGAGACTATATTGGTAAGTGAAATAAATCAGATCCATATGGGAAAACATCACATTAGCTCACTAGTGTGAGAACCTGAAAGAGTAAATAAAATCTGAAAGGTACAATAGATATTGTGAAAGAATTTGTTCAATGGGAAGGAAAAACTGGAATGATGAAAAGGACAGGAAAAAGTTACCTTTAGGTGTATGTGCAGGATTGTTTGGATAATTGTGCTGCCAATTTTTTGCTGATCTTTAGACAGAAGTTAATGCTATTTTTTTCTTTTGAATTTCTTACAACTTTTTTGTTATTATTTTGTTTTTTCATTAATCTAATCTTGAACATTTATATCTGGTAACTTGAACAACTAATTTGAAGATAACATCATGTAATACAACCACCATTCTTCAATTCCTATTACTTTGTGTAGGGAAATTTTGTATCATTTCTAATGCTGTTTTTTTCTATCATTATTTTGTATTCTTAAAAAGATTCCTATGAATATTCATGGAGAAGTACTGGCATATGCCTATGTTATCATTTTCCATGACTGGACTGTATTGATAAAATATATTCTACATACACACTTTTGACCAGAACTACCCAACTGTTCCTACAAGTACCTTTGCTATTTTCACTTCTAGTCAGGAGTATATGAATGTTCCAACTGCTCTAGGTTCTTACTAACACTTTAAACTTTATTCTACTAGGTATAAAGTGGTACTACATTGTGGTTTAATTTACATTTTGCCAGTGGCAGTTATGTTAATTTTAAATGCTTGTTAATAGCATATTTTGCATATTGAATTATTTTGTATCTGTGTCAAAAATCAGCTCCAACTTACTTGCATGGATCAATTTCAAAGTTCTTCTGTTGCATTCATCTATGCCTCGAGTCTTCAACAAAATCAGTGTGATTTATTAAGTTAAAGACTACATATGCACCTTTCTGTAACTGGAACAAATAACAACACCTGCGACTGGAAGGAGGAGGAGTTGTGCACACAGTTCCAGCAGGTTCCGTCCAGAGTCATGTGGTTCGAAGGAAGAAACAGTACAGTGGGGGAGAGCTGTCCACCCTGGGGTGGCTGGAAGCAGAGAGAAGGCAGGGAAGCCACAGATGAGAATGCGTCATGTTCGTTCACACCCAGCCACCTGGCTCCTCTGAACAGAATCCACCTCTGAACTCAAGACTTATAAGGGGCATGTTAGATCCAAACCATAGCACTCTCCTTCGCCCCCACCAAGGCCTTGCCTATCTCGTTATGTAAAATTCAGTGATTCAATCACTAAGAGTCACCAGTCTTAAAAGTTTCAGCAGTGCTAAAGTACAGTGGCACAAGTAAGTATTCCTCTTCCAAAGGGGAGAAAAAGGGGGACAGAAAGACATCAGACTGCATCCAAGCAGAGCAAACATTAAGTCCTGTAGCTCTGTGTCCAAGACCAGGCATCCACAAAGGGCTTGGGAAGACTGACCCTTATGCATTTGCCAATTGCAGCCTACCTGGTCTCTTTCATAGACTCTGCCTACTGCCTACTGGTTTTCTAAGCAGACATTCCATGTTCCCAAATCTCCAATTTCATGGGGTCTTCACCACACCTTTAATTTCACTCTCCTGAGCATACCTCCTGGCTTAGGCCTCTGTAGAAGCCTCTGCATTCTACAGCTCTTATTTTCTGTATTTCAGAAGAACCAGCATCATGTGGAAGATGCACCACCTAAGAGTAGGGGGCCCCACTGAACCATGTCTGCACTGGCCAGTGAGGACTTGGGTAGCTGAGGAAACCAGTTTGCTAGGCAGTCCATTTTGAGCAGGGCATCATGAAGTTCTCAAATAGAAAACTTTATAGTTTTTCACCCTTCAGCCTGAAAAGGGTTAGATCTGAATAATTCTTGTGGTTCCTTCAAGTCATCTTTCCTATTGCTCTAATGTAAAGTACATAGTTTCTTTTTAATGCTAAGATTTCCAACAATCACACTTTTCTTTGCCCTAACATTACAAGCATTGTTTGTCTGTCCAAACTTCACATTATTTATCTTTGCTTTTTGTTCTTGCATCTCACAAATTAGGCAGAAAACAGTCAGCAGTTCCCGTGCTATAGCTGAACCAATATGTGGCTGTGCTGAAATTGCCTGACAGACTAATTAGTTTTCTAGCCTTGACTTCAGGCTCCCTCACAATCTTAGGACATGGGCAAAATGTAGACAGTTTTTCCAGAACATCGTATACATGACCTCTAGTCCAACTGCCAGTTGAATTATCTTCCCAAGTAAAAGTTCCTGAGCCTGGCCTTTACTGTCTGCATTCCTGTCAGCATCTAGGGCTTCCAAGCACTGA